CAGTACAGACTGAAATCATGTGAAGCTGGCAAATGCAGAGCTTAGAGGAATAGTTCACCCAAACATGAAAATCATGTCATCATTTACTCAAACCTGTATGATGTTTGATTAATAAATGGAAAATGCTTCTGCAGATGACATATGATTCTTTATTTTTTAATTTACAAGCAACAGTCCTGCAGAGGCTGTCGGTCCGTTACCATGGAGACAGAACTCTCGCAGTGCCTCTCCATCACAATAATCTCCTCACTCCGTCTCATCATCAGCACAGCTTCATCAGCTTTACAGTATAAATTGGGTAGAGTAAAATGTTTTTAACACAAGCATTTCAGTCAAATATTATTTATGCAGCATGTCAAACCTTTAACCGGTAATAAAAATAACTCGCAACAGCAGTTTAAAAGTAGCCCCGGGTAAACCATGGAGTTGGCAACTCCAAACCTCCTGGGGTTTCTAATGCTTGGATTCTCTCAAGTCTGCTTTTGATGCATCCTCAATATCAAGAACACATGCGGGTACTTTCATGCGTTCTCTGTACTTGAGTTCTTGAGTACTGGGACTCTTCCAGAAAGTTTATTCTAGCAAGCTGTTTTGAACCCCCAAAACAAAGTCCAAATTCCCTTCGTTTTGACCTGATTTTGTTTGAAATGATGTCACAGCAGTTCGTTCTTCATAGTTTGAATTGAAGGCGTTGACACTGGTTTTAATGGCTGGCTGCTATACTGCTATACCTCAGTTCACTTCTCCAAGTGTATACTCCCTGCTGCAGCTCAGGTCACTGAATGAGCGACACCTTGCTCCTTCACAATGAGACACAAACACGCTCTCCAGACCCTTCACTCTCTCTCTGCTGGAATGAGCTTCTAACCTCCACCCGATATGCTCTGACCATCACAGCTTTCAAGAAGCAGCTGAAGACACTTTTTATTTACATTTACATTTAGTCATTAAGCAGATGCTTTTATCCAAAGTGACTTAAATAAAAGTGTCTGCTAAATGAATAGTAAATGTAATGTAAATGCAATCAGAAGAGCATGTGGGCGGAGTCTTTCTGCCAGCGCACTGCACTCACACACAAAAAAATGGAAGTACGTAATATAATTCATAAATATACTTAAAATTTAAACATTATTAAAATGTATTTAAAACATGTATTTTAAAAATGTATTACAAAAACGTTTTTTCTATATATGTTGTTTTAATAACATTTAATATATAAATAAAATCTACATTGTTGACATATATGGTTGCTACATATAATAGCATATGAAAAATAATCATGTAGATATTATTAACATTATGTGCACATACACGTTTTACTATTGGGTGTTTTATGTATGTTATAAACTTAAATCTTCATTTACCCAGAGAATGTACGGGTGTGAAAATGATATATCACCTTATAGGTAACATATTTGGCAATATCACTCTTGATATTAAGACATCTATGTCATTTCTGTATGGGTTTCACATCGTTCTTCATTATGGCTGTTAAAGTCATGCACAGTAATATTTTGGCTGGCGTGTGAATACTGGTGAAGGACAATAGATATTTAAGAGACTGTGTGCTGTATTACGTCTGGATGTGAGATGGTTTGCTGTGGTTCTGGAGTCTGTGGACTCTCTGCTCTTTAATGATGATGAACAGACTCATGCTGACCTTAAATGTCCTGATAGAAGCACATTACTCTTCCTGAGGCCTCCTCATATCTCAGCAGCTCTCAGTTACTCAAAGTGCTTTGACTACAGTCTCAGAGTTACGCAATCGACTCGACCGCGCTCCAGTTCTCATCCGCTGTAAGACGAAATGAGATTACGGCAGAAATGAGGGATCAGAGCCGATGTGTTTTAGTTGCCTATGAGTGTGTTGGTTATTCATGGTCTGCTGCTCGTGCTGCTGGTGTGTGCTGTCTACATAGGCACCATCTGAAATGCATCCTTATGAGTGACCGCTTTGAAACGCAACTCATGCGGCGAGTGTTTCTCACAGAGATCACACAGGAGACTCCCTGAACAAATGATTCCAGTGCTAATAACATCTCACTACTCTAATAAGCATTAAAATTCACAACACACACACATACATTGAGTAAAACTGTCTATTTTAGATATTTTCACCAATATTTTTACATATAGTTTTGATTGGCATTACAGCTGCACTCGCTCTCTTCTCTCCTCCAGTGAGTTGACAGTGTTACAGTGTGAGTTTTCATTAAATATGTATATAGTGTGTTGCGTTGTGTGTTTCAGAGTGAAGCTTGGCACTGTGTTCATTTATACACGATCAGCTCATTTTCGATGGAGACAATAATGTTATCATTTTCAAAAACGTGCATTTTGAAACCCGATTTCAAAGGTTTGCCCCAAAATGCAAAAAAAGTTTTCAAGTTTTAGTTGAAAATGGTGCTGTTTAAACACCCCTTTAGACCTGTTTCTGTTTGTGTTTGTCCATTCTCTTCTTTGTGTTGGTTGTTTTGCCTGTGTTTTCTCCTGTGTTTTTGGTTTTGTGTAATACTCTTAGATACTCTTCAGATTTTATGTCTTCAATGTTGTGGCAATTTTTCCCCATGGTATAAAAAATGGTATTGAATATAAATAGTTTTAAGGTATCATATCGGAGTTGGAAATTCTAATATCGTGACAACACTAGACTCTTGAAAATAAAGGGGGTTTTCACAGTGATTTGGTTCCTCGAAGGACTTTTCAATGAACAGTTTTTAAAAGATCCATTTTTTCCTCAATGTTAAGACCATCTAAAAAAAAAACTTTTTCCATGTTTTTAACATTGCATGGATGTTACAGGTTCTTCATGAAGCCATCGATGCCAACGAAGAACATTTCTAAGAGTGCACACACCTATAAAACAGCCAACTAATTAACTGTGTGGTTAATCTTCTGCATGTATGTACAGACAGGGTTTGGTATCTGAAGTCCCTGTGCTGAAAGCAGTCTTTCTGAAATGTCTGAAGAGCTCATGTTTGAGACGGTGACTCATGCTGAATCATGTCTTCATGGCTGGAGTCTGCTGGTTTCGTTGAGTCATGGAGAAGCCTTATGTTGCAGACTTACAGTCACTCCTAGCTTCATTCGATCTCAAATGGTTTACCATCACAAGCACTCACAAATCAGGCAACACACAATCTCATTGTCATACGAAGATAAGTATACATTATGAAACCCTGTGAAGGTTATTCGAGCAATGAATAAGAAATGAAAATACACAGCAATGAGATCCAAGGATTTCCTTCATCTCGTTTATTGTAATGTTCTTTGAATGAATTCTGTCATCTTTTTCTCACCCTCATGTTGTTCCAATTCTGTATGACTGACTTTCTTCTGTAGAACATAAAAGGATGACCCAAAAATAGTTTATGCGATTGGTACATTTCACTTCTGAAGCTGCACAACTGTGTGAGAGGAACAAAGCATAACTGAATCATACCCTCCAGCATAGCTCTGAAATTTCATTCTGCATTTTGGCTTGTTAAACACGCACAAATCAGGCAAACAACTTGACTTAATTTACACATGCAATTGTATTGCAGACAACATTTTGGTATCATTTCATTATAACATTTAACCTACATCTTGCTATCTGTGTGCCACCGGTTACTTTTAGGTGAAACCTACGCTCCCTTTCCCCCTCCCATCTTTCCTCTGTAGTATCCTCCTCTCTTCCCTCACCTACTCATTTCTCATCTCTGGAGGTGAATGCAGTAGCTTCTTGTCTAGACAATATATATGTCCTCTCTCCTCCCGGCCAGCACATGCTACCCCTTCTAACCCCTGGCTATCTGATGTTCTTCGTGAACATCGGTCCAAACTCATCCTCATCCTGGCAAAGACTGAGCTTCTCGTCTTCCCTGCCACTCCAACTCTACAGCATGATGTCACCCTTCAGCTAGGTTCTTCTACAATTACCCTATCGACTTCGGTCAGAAATCTTGGTGTAATCTTTGATGACCAGCTGAGCTTCAAAGACAACATTGCAAAAAAAGCTAAATCTTGCAGGTTTGCATTGCACAACATCAGAAAGATCAGGCCCTTTCTAAAGGAGCATGCTGCACAACTTCTTCAGAAGTCTGAGATCCACTAGTGAGCGACGCCTCGTGGTACCATCACAGAGAGGCTCAAAATCACTTTCCAGAACATTCTCGTTCACCGTTCCTGGCTGCTGGAACGATCTTCCCACCCCTATCCGGAATGCTGAATCCCTGACAATTTTCAAGCGACAGCTGAAAACTCACCTCCTTCATCAACATTTGACTCCCTCCCTGTCTATTTTGTAAAAATGTTTTGATCTGGTAATGTTTAATCAGAATGTCATAGCAGTGGGATGAGACGCACCGGCCAGTGCTCTCGTGGCCACCCACAGGCCTCGACCGACTTCTCAAATAAGTCAATGAAGGCACCTGGGTCGTCCTGCGGCCCCATCTTATGAGATGAAGCCCCTCCTGGTCCATCCAGCTCCGGAACAGATCCTGGTCCTCCTCCTGCGCCTGAACTAATGTAGCATACTACCATTTGAAATGTTAGAATACCACTGTTTGGAGGCAGTATGCATCAATAAATGCTTCAAACACTTACAAATGCTCCAAAGTAGTATGCAACATTGACACATTAGCTCGTTACTCAAATGTTAGATTATTTAGATCAGATTATTGAATATTTTTACCCAGTTTTGTGTAAAATATCTTCACTTCTGGTGGTCTGATCAAGTGAGGAGTCAAAAAATATGTTAAAAATCACAGCTGATACACTGCCAGCTGATCTGTCACACTGGAAACAGAAGGTCAAGTCAAGTGGGATACAGTAGTGTACTGCACACTTCAGCAAATGTATTCCATGCATACTGAAACTTCACATGCTGCAGAAATAGCAGGACTGGTGTGTTAGTATGCTGAACACGTTTGTGTATTTGGGTGGAGGCAAACATCACAGTAGCTTCAAAATAATCCAGCTTGTAACATTTCAGTGTGTGTGTGTGTGTGTGTGTGTGTGTGTGTGTGGCATCACTGTAGTGTTTCATTCTGTGCATCAAACCTAGTGAGCATCACTGAGGCAGCTCACTGGGTTTTGAGACACGGCCCTGCGCTGCAGTTCCAGTGTGTGGTCCACAGGGGGCGTTAGGACCAGCGTTCACTGCGCGTCTCAGCTGGGTTCAGTGCTGCTCAGATACGCGTTCATCATCATCATCATCATCATCATGTCTTCGGCGGATCACACAGTCATGCACGGCATCTGGGGCAGTCAGGCGCCCGCGGGGAAGGCGATGGAGACGCCGAAGAACAAGGGCTTCAGCCTGATCAGGATGATGTCTCTGAATTACAGGAAGGAGAACAAGAATCTACAGCAGCAGCATCACAACAACATGCCCTTTATGATTCACTGCCACATCGGCAAAGAGATCAAACACATATGCAGCAACTGCAGCCGCGGCAGCCACGCGCAGCACGGTGAGTAACCGCGTTCATCTTGCGCTTCTGAGCGACGCGACGCGAGCGCACAGAGCTGTTCACACAGGACGCGCTCTTGGGCTCCGCGTTCAACTTGTTTCATTTTTTGGTTTACAACAGTATGTGCATTTGCGTCTCGGGATGCGTTCTTGCGTTCAGATTTTGCTGTTCTTAATTATTGGCCTCATGTACACATGTGACCGACGCGTGTGCGTCGCGTAAAGCGCCAGGAGCGTTGCGTTTTTAATAAGGCGTGTTCAAATAGCAGGACTCGAAACCGATGTGAAGCTTCTGTTTCTGTCCTGTGTGAACGCTGCCAGAAGTGGTGTTCACAAGGGATTCATTTTTCGTTCTGTTTTTGCATAATATTTTATTTATTATTGTAAATTATACATATTGGTTTATAGTGCAAATAGTTTTAGCATTTTCTGCACTGTTATTTTTCTGTAGCGGCTGATGAATCTGAAGTCTTGCACATTCTAGAAAAATAGCTTTCTTCCTTTTTGCAAAATAAAGTCACGTGTGTTTTTGGCTTGTTGTTTTGCACAGCCCCAACCTGTGCCCCACAACTCAATCACTGATGTGTTAACAATTCTATACTGAGATTGAAATATGTATGAATTCAAAATTGACTCTATTTACTTTTACACACAATACTTGTCTTGTGGTGAACAATCAATTCATGCAAGTTAATCCAGAGGAAAAAAAATATTGTTATTTATATTCTTGAAGTCAAAATCTGCAAATTTGCTCTGAAGTACATCACAATACTTCTAGTTCACGCAGACTGTGAAGTTAACGTTTAGGGAAGGGTTAACTGGTTCAAACTGGTTTGGTGGAAAATCACATGTTTTTTTAGCATCTGACGCCATGAGTGTTGATTTAAAGCGGTGGTTCACTGGGTTTTTTCTAGGCTTGATTGTGTTTATGGGGTGCAGTCTAACATGTGTTAATGCTTCGTTTAA